GCAGAGAGAAAACTGCCATCCTGGAAAAGTAAGCCCTAGTCTATCACTGAGCTGAGACAACCGACAGAAGTAAGCATGCCCCAAGAGAGAGGTGTTCCCCATAACCCAGGAAGAGCAGAAACTTTTCTTGGAGCAGATCATGGTGTTTTAAGACTGTTGACACATATTACCTCATTTCATCCTTTTATTCTTTGCCTCCCTTGTTCAGAGTTGAAGATGTAATGCTACTGGCCCTGCCAACCAGAGCACATGCCAACCAATTTAATATTGATCATCATTTTGTCTTCTCTGTTATCCAGCCTTTAAAGAACTGCTTCCTCATCGCTCACAATACTCATCATTGTTTTGCAGTAGGACAGACTAGTCTCACTAATCTCACAGGAAGGCATGTGATCAAGCCTGACCAACTGGAGTACACTATCATCTTGACACAGCAATGATTAGGGGAAGATATATAAATAATGCTAATTAGACCCTTTCCACAATTTTCCATGTCTTGAACAGCAGTTTTGTGTTGGATGGGGTCTGGATAGATAGATATAGATGATATAGATGTAGATGTAGATATAGATATAGATATGCTTCAGGATAAGCAATTAATTCCCTGGAAATGTGGTCATACAGAGAGAAAGAGATTGAAAGATACTGAGAAAGAGTTATGGCATGGTTTGAAAAATGATCTAGTTCTGTTTAAATCAGTTTCTCTCAGTATCTATACCCATTTGTCCATTTTTTGCTTGCTAATTTGCATTTATCCTTTGACACATTTAACCAAAATAGTTCTAACATGAAATTTTTTACATGACTGTAGAATATTGTACAATAGAGGAGCACAGATTTGGATTCTGCTAAAGTAAGTTGAGCAACACAAGGAAAGTAATTCATCTCTGTGAAGTTTACAAACCTCAATTTGTAGAAGTAGAGGATATGTTCTTACCTGTTTTATGTAGATGGTGCCAATTATTTCAGATGGGCTAAGGAAAATATTGGAAGACCAAAATAGACTGAAAATAAACAAACAAAGAGAATGCCTGCTACACTGTTTCTAGAAGTCATAGAGAGCAAAAGAAAGAGAGAGAAGAAGGAAGGAAGGAAGGAAGGAAGGAAGGAAGGAAGGAAGGAAGCAAGGAAAGAAGGAGGGAGGGAGGGAGAATGAAAAAGAGAAAAGGAAAAAGAGAAGAGAAGAGAAGATCTTTGGCTCAAAACAACTGATTTCAAAAGCAAAGTGGCAGCCATAAGTTACTCCATGTTAAGGTGACATCCAATATATCAAAGTGACCCAAATTTATATAAGTATATCTTATGAAATGAAAGTGCCAAATGAGTGACTCCAAAGCAAAACAAACAAACAGGAGATAGATGTGTAAACAAATACCGTGTTAAATCCCAAAAGCCATAGATAACAAGGAAGTTTCCTTCAATAGGTCCAACATCAATATGAGATGATGCAGCACTTGAGCAGGCAGTAAATTTAAAGAGATACTTCAAAACTTATTGTAACTCAGGAATAAGGATATACTTTGAAACTTATCGTAACTCAGGAATGCTACATTTTAATAGAATATTTAAAAATTTAAAATTAATGCAACAAAGTCAAACTCAAGAAAATATCCGAATTCTAAGGAAAGCCTAGTCAAACCCATACATTCCTTATTCACTTCTTGTCCAGAAATAAAGAAGAAAGTAACTTTTATTAAGAATACTGTAACCTAATTCAGCCTGGATTTAAGAGAGTGATTAGTGGCCTCACTGCCCCAGGCAGATACACTAAATTACATTGCTAGGAGACAGAAACTACTAAATGAAAATCACATTTAGGATGAGACTCATCAGGCTTGGGTGGGAGCTACCAGTCCAGAGAGGAAGCAGAGAAAAGACAGGGCAAAAGTCAGCTGAGGTTTTAGAGGCATTATTTTATCATAGAAATGTCAGCTCTGGCTACTTTTCCATCCCTAAAAACAATCCCTACGCCAATAGGAAGTTGTTTATTAAATAATGTTCCTCCAGAAAGTAAGTCTTTCCAATAATTCCTGAAACTGCTCTGCAGTAAATTGGATACAGCATGGGAGCAAGTTGACCAAGAAATTGATCCAACAGCCCTCAAATTTAAACCTTTGGTTGAAGTCACTGTATGCTGCTCACCTTTCTGTCCTTCATATGAAAATGTGTATTGTGTGCATATTATGGTTCACAGGCTTAATTTGGACATGTTATTTTGGGATTGTTTAGATTTATCATGTAGCTTCAAAATTCATACCTATTCAAAGGGAAATCTAAGCTAAACAAAAGTGACATAGGTCATCCAACATCACAATGTTGGAACTCAGTACAGGAACTGAAGGAGACATTGATTTGTCAGCCTTTCAGGAAACAGTAAGTCCTTCTCAAATAGTGTGTTGTACTGTGTTAGATATGTCACCTGTTTTTTAAAATATTGCATAAAACTTAGGAACTATTCCAGGTCCCATGTTATTTGTGGTAGAAGGGTCTTCCCTGTGTAGCAATCTGATTTAGTCAAGATATTTTTATGAGGGCAACCCTCCACTCCTTAGGTCTTCTCCATTCCATTCCACTCCACAGCACTAAGGCTAGAATTTAGGACTAGACATCTAAAATGTGTGTTTTCTGAGTTGTTCTCTCCTGATCACCATGCCCATGTATTTTCAGTAGCTAGAACAAATCACTTTTTAATTTAAAAACTAAAAATTTAAGATGAGAGAATAACAATAGAAAGAAACAGGAAATGATCTCAGTGATCTCTTAGACAAAAGAGAGAAAATTTAAAGCTCTTAAATATTTAATTTGTTCCAGAAACTATTGGAGTATTTTAAGTGTACTTACTGGGGACTGTGGTAATCATTATTTTAAACATGGAAATAATGAAGTACAAAGTAGTTATTTGTTCTCTGTTGTGGAGCAATTAAAAGATGAGTTGAGTAGACTGCACAAGGAGCCCAGGCACCCAAGTTTTTATTGGCATTATTTGTTCATAGCAGAGATCAGAGACACAATGTAAAATCGATTGACTCAAACAGTATCCAAAACCACAGTAAAGGAAGACAGTAAAGGACATGGGAGGGATGGTATCTGCAGGAGGAAGAACTCATGACACTTTATGAATCACATTTCAGAGAGGGGAACATTATTTGCATTCAGAGGGGCCCACCCAGTTAACAGACACATGGGTAAGCACTGGTCAACTTTACACAACCATACTATACTACATCCACTTTAAGAAGACTATACTTATCATCATTCCCTGTTCTACCTGGTTTTTCATACTTCAAATAAGCAAAAACAAAACAAAACAAAAACAAAAACAAAAAACAGAAAACCCTGTCTTTAGTACATTAAGGCAAATGTTGCTTCTGACTCACCTCTATTTGTGTTTAAAGATGTTCAGCTCTGTGCTGATTTTACAAACTGTGTTTTCTTGTGACTTGTGAAATGAAAGCTACAAAGCATAAGTGCTTTCTTTTCACTATGCTTCTAACTAAACCCTGCACAGTAAAACAAATTAAGCAGATGGCAGACTTAAATGTTAAAGATTGGGGGAAATGTATGAAGAGATCTTTGGATAAATTAGAATATAGGATAGAATATATTGAAGTGAGATGAATCAGAGGTTAAAGTCACAGAGAATTTTAAACCTTTTAGCTTCACTGAAGATGCATGAATGATTCAGGGCAGTGACTGAGAGTGCTTTCCCATGACAACTGTGCCTTTGTAATTCTTAATTCCCAAATTAGTCCAAAGCTTTATTGCACAGCTCATAGAGGCGCACATGTGACCATCTTTCACTTCATAGTGAATAGTGCACAGGCTCATTCATATGAGGAAAGAATGCAAGGCAAGAGGTGTTCGAGGTTTTTAAATCAGTGATGCCTGTGGAGAGTCCAGATCTAAAAGAGAAAACAATTCCCATCTCCTGAGAGTTATGGCTTCCCACACTCCGCTGCTAAGGAGCCTGCATGCACTGTACAATTTTGAGCTCTGTTAAAATGCAAATTTTCCAGGGAGCATTCAATCTCATGAGTCATTTTCAACTATGGGTAAACGGATCTAGCAGAACATTTCTTTGAGAAGGGAGAAGGCAGGCCGAAGCATGAGCCTGTGAGAGGCTTGGATTTAAAAAAAGAAAAAGGCTAAAACTCTAGTACTTAAGATGGTCAGTGCTAGAGCAAAACGCTTATAAAATATGTTTTTAGATCTAGAATTTACTCATCTATTTTATTCTAAGAGGTAAAGTCAACTTAATTCCATATACACAAAAAATGGCAAAAGAAAATGGCAAGAAACATAGTTAATATGTGCCTCTTATGTACCAGATAGTTTAGTTTCTCTCAAAATCAAACTCTCTGAAGTACCCAGAAATGCAATTTTATGACTAATAAAACGTAAATATTCTGCAGTTGTGGGTCTCCATGCCAGTGGTGATGCCACTCTGGTTTTAAATCCTTGGATGCATGCTAATAATTTTTCTCTTTTTTATTTAAATTGAAAACAATCTTAGTTTACCTACCAATCCCTGTTCCCTCTCCCTCTTTTCGTTCCATGCCCCCACCTACCCCCATCCCACCCCTATCCACTCCCCAAGGAGGGTGAGGCCTCCCATGGGGGAATCATCAAAGTTACAAATATCATTTGTAACAGAACCTAGGTGCTTCCCCATGTGTCTAGGCTGAGAGAATGTCCCTTCATAGGGAATGGCCTCCCAAAATCCATGCACCTGAGATAAATACTGGTTCCACTGCCAGAGGTCCCATACATTGCCCTGGCCTCCCAACTGACATCCACGTTCAGGGAGCCTGGTTTGGTCCTATGCTGGTTCCCCAGATGTCAGACTGGGGTCCATCGTAGAGAAGGAGACGTGATGAGCAAAGGGTTCAAGACTATGCTGGGGAAACCCACAGAAACAGCTGACATGAGCAAGTGGGAGCTCAAGGACCCTAGCACGCTAATATTTTTTTGTTATCGTTTTCAAAACCAGAACATTTTACTTTTATAACTGACTGAAATCCTCAAGATAAACTGGATGCTGCAACAGCTGACCTCTTGGGTTTAGGTGTCGTCCCTTCACGGAATCCATGTCTGAATCTTCGATAGACAATTTTTAGGTGCCCCATCCGTCCAGTCCCGGTAGTGTTTCGCCTCTTACCCTTGGCACTCCAATTATACTGTCTCTTGGGCTTGGCGGGGTAGCCACATTTGCCACAGGTGGACTTCTGAAAGTGGTAGGCCTTCGAGCCACAGCGGCAGCACAGCATCTGTGTCTTATTGCGATGCTTTCCAAAGGATGACGTTCCTTTTGTCATCTGGCTTCTGCCACCAAGGCCAAAGAGCACATGCTAGTATGTTTAAGCCATTAAAGAACCCCAGGCATTCATAATGCTGAGGCAGGAGGAGCAAAATTTCAAGATCTGCCTCAGATACAGAACAAGTTCACGAGTGCCACAGCCGTGGCATATCCTAATCACAGCATTTTGGGACCACAGATAGGGTATCTACTCTCCATTGCCTGGCCCCACTCTCAGGATCTAGGAGGAGGACACGTTGGGGAGCAGTATGGGAGTAGTTAGAAGTTTGAAACGGGGTAGGCAGCTAGGATCATAATATACTGAACACATGTATGAAACTGTCAAAGAATAAAGAAAAATTCGGAGAGAAAAATCTTCTAGGAGTATTTGCTTTTAAAATATTGGAGTCTTGCCATGCCATAGTCAGTCTTTCTTCTCTGTAGTTAAAATTTCTTGACATCCTATGAGCTAAAGCAAATAACAATACACAGCTAAATTGGTACCTTTTTGCATCTCAGACTTTGGGTGGAGAAAGAAACATTATCTCTGAAGTGTAATGTACAAAGAAAGATTGTGTGGGCATGCTCAAGAAAATGAAAAGCTACCTTTTAAGTGTTTGTATTACAGGGGAAAGGCTCTAATAATTTAGATTAACTGCCAGAGTGCCTCGAAAAGATTGAAATAAAAGCAACATACTTTTAAGAGCAAAGAGGGAAGAGCCATGTGAATAGTCACACAGAATAGAGACAGAATAGATTCCCTGGGGAATCTCTAGAGAAATACATTCTAAAGATGCTTATAACAAAAATATAATCCTTAGTTGGTATGAGGGTGTTTAAATGACCAAATTGAAGAGCATAGAGGAGGCCTCTTCCATTTAAACGCAAAAATTATCGTATATGTTCCATATGGCACTTGGAATCACAGGCCTGATAAGTAGGTATTTGTTTTTTGCTTGTTTGTGTGTTTGTTTTTTACACAGTGTATTCTCAGGAGTTGAGATATATTTATACTAGAATACAGTTCTAATAAAATGTGGGGCTTTTATCAAATTGAATTCTTTCTCAGAAATAGTAACTTTCCATCAGGTATATAAATTTAAAGATGATTGAGAAGAGAAACCCTCCTGAGGACAGAGCTTCCTAGTAGGTTTCAGTTTTCTCGAATTCTTTTCAGATCACAGAGCTCTTGGAGGTCACATGCAGAAGTAGCTATTTAACATGTCCGTATATAATTTGACTTCTTCCTTTTCAATTTGTATTCCCTTGATCTCCTTTTGTTGTCTTATTGCTTTAGCTAGAACTTCAAGTACAATATTGAAGAGGTATTTAGAGAGTGGATGGCCTTGCCTTGTTCCTGATTTTAGAGGAATTGCATTGAGTTTCTATCCGTTTAGTTTAATGTTGGCTGTTGGTTTACTGTATATTGCTTTTATTATGTTCAAGTATGTTCCTGTTATCCTTGATCTCTCCAGGACCTTTATCATGAAGGGGTGTTGGATTTTGTCACAGGCTTTTTCAACATCAAATGAGATGATCATGTGGTTTTTCTTTTGCAGTTTGTTTATATGGTGGATTATATTGATAGATTTTCATATGTTGAAATATCCTTGCATCCCTGGGATGAAGCCTACTTGATCATGGTAGATGATTTTTCTGATGTGTTCTTGCATTGGATTTGCTAGTACTTTATTGAGTATTTTTGCATCAATATTCATGAGTGATATTGGTCTGTAGTACTCTTTCTTAGATGTATCCTTGTGTGGCTTGGGCACCAAGGTATTTTTAGCCTCATAAAAAGAGATTGGCAATGAACATTCTGCTTCTATTGTGTGGAACACTTTGAGAAGAATTGGAATTAGCTCTTCTTTGAGTTAGTGGAAGAAGTCTGCACTGAAGCTATCTGGCCCTGGGCTTCTTTTTTTTTTTTTTTTTTTTTTTTTTTGGTTGGGAGCATTTTGATGACTGCTTCTATTTCATTAGGAGTTATAGGTCTATTTAAATTGCTCATCTGTTCTTAATTTAATTTTTTCAAGTGATATCTATCCAGAAAATTGTCCATTTCCTTTAAATTTTTGAATTTTGTGGAGTACAGGTTTTCAAAGTATGACCTAATGATTCTCTGGATTTCCTCAGAGTCCATTGTCCTGTCCCCCTTTTCATTTCTGATTTTGTTAATTTGCATGTTCACATTCAGCTGTTTGGTAAGTTTGGACAAAGGTTTGTCTATCTTGTTGATTTTCTCAAAGACCCAACTCTTTGTCGCATTGATTATTTGCATGTTTTCTTTGTTTCAACTTTATTGATTTCATCCCTCAATTTTATTATCTCCTGATACCTACTCCTCTGGCTTGAGTTTGCTTCTTTTTGTTCTCCAAAATTTACAAAGAACTCAAGAAGCAAGTCTCCAAAACAGCAAAAGATCTAATTAAAAAATGGGATACAGAACTAAATAGAGAATGCTCAATAGAAGAGACTAAATTGGCTGTGAGACTCTTAAGAAACTGCTCAACATCCTTAGTCATCAGGGAAATGTTAATCAAAACAACTCTGAGATACCATCTCACTCCTGTCAGAATGGCTAAAATCAAAAACACCAATGACAGCTTATGCTGGAGAGGATGTGGAGAAAGCAGACCATTCCTCCACTGCTGGTGGGAGTGCCAACTTGTACAGCCACTTTGGAAGACAGTATGGAGATTGTGCAGGAAAATGGAAATCAGCCTACCACAAGATCCAGCAATTCCACTCTTAGGCAAATACCCAAATAAAATGCACATTCATACAACAAGGATGCGTGTTCCACTATGTTCATAACAGCATTATTTGTAATAGCCAGAATCTAGAAGCAACCTAGATGCCCCTCAACTGAAGAGTGGATAGAGAAAATGTGGTACATTTACACAATGGAGTACTACTCAGCAGAAAAAATAATGGAATCTTGAAATTTGCAAGCAAATTTGCAGACACTAGAAGAAACCATCCTGAGTGAGGTAACCTAGTCACAAAAGAGAAACATGGTGTATACTCACTCATATATGGATTTTAGACATGAAGCAGAGAAGTGCCAGCCTACAATTCCACTATCAGAGAGTCTGGGAAATGGGGAGAACCTTAAGAGAGATACGCATGCTACCCTGGAGAAAGGGAACGGGAAATTATCTCCTGAGTGGACTGCGAGCATTGAGGGAGCAGACAGGGAGCTGGGGAAAAGTGAGCTGGAGAAGAGAAGGGGAAAGGAGGACATGGGGGAGCAGGAAGATTGAGTCTGGGCAAGAAGAGAGGACAGAAGGATGAGAGATACCATAAATGAGGAAATCATTATAGGTTTGAGGAGAGATCTGGCACTATTGATATTTCCAGAGATCTACAAGGATGACACCAACTGGCAATCTAAGCAATAGTGGAGAAACTACCTTAAATGCCAGATTTTTGTCTACCATGTATGCCATCCCAGAGTCGTTATCCAGAGGCTGATGGAAGCAGAGGCGACACCCACAGCTAAACACTGAACTGAACTCCTGGAAACCAGTTGGAGAGAGGGAGGAGTGATGAGCAAAGGGGTCAAGACCTAGTGGTTGAAACCCACAGAAACAGCTGACCTGAACAAGGGGGAGCTCATGGACCCCATTCTGATGGCTGAGAGGCCAGCATGGGATGGATCCAGACTCCCTGAACGTGGGTGTCAGTGAGGAGGCCTCAGCAATCTTTGGGGCCTTGAGTACTAGATTGGTATTTATCCCTGGCACCCGAATGGACTTTGGGAACCCATTTCACACGGAGGGATGCTCTCTCAGTCTGGACATATGGCAGAAGGCCTAGGCCCTGCCTTGGATGATATGATCCGCCATGAAAGGCCTCACTCTCCTGGAGAGTGAAGTGGGGATTGCGGGGGCGGGGGGGGGTTAGGAAGGTTGGAGGTGGAGAAGATGGAGAAGGAACTGAGATCGAAGCAAGCTTGTTTCTAGTTTAAATAATAAAGAAAACATATCTTTATAAATTCCAAACTGACTGAAAAGCATTTCTGAACAGACAAGAGGAGAGTTTGCTAATCCACCTGGACTGGAAAAAAAATGTTGCTTTTTTTGTTTTTGTTTTTGTTTATTGCAAAGAAGAAAAAAACCTTGTGATACACTATACTCTTTTTTTAAATAACTCTTTGTATATTAAAACATTGTGAGGGAAAAAGCAAAATTCATAAGTTGTAGTACTTTGATTACTTAGGTGGTATGTTATTAAAATTGTGAAAATATAGTTTAGAACAAATAAATTTGTTAATCTGGATATCTTATGTACAAAATTAGGTAAAAAGGTAATTTCTGCGATCAAATAAATAACATCTATCATAAGTAACACTGTAAGTTGTTAAAAATAAATATCTGAAATTCTCTCTCCCATCTCTTGTATTCTGTTAGTGTGGTTTGCTTCAAAAATTTCTGTTTGAGTTCCTAATCTTTTTATTTCTTTTGTTTCAGCAAAATCATGAATAAAAATTTAATATTTAAGGTCTTAATAGATGCCTTACTCCTCCCATTCCTAGCCTTCCCCTTCTTATTTAACCCTTTTGAATTTAGTTGCATAATTTTTAATACAAGAAAAATGTTTTACCTATACTCAAAGTCTAATTTTATATAACAATATCATTTTCTTACTATGTTTATCATGGTAAACAAACTTATTTTTCTTGTTTAAAGTTTTATCGCTAAGTATATTTTTTGTTATCCTTGAAACATGAACTTTCATTCTTTTTTTAAAACTTGAAATTATCCCTGCTAATTTGTAAATGATATTATCTGGGAATCAAATTGGAGACTGTGGGCCTCTCTGTGCAGCATTATTGTTGTTGATAATATATCTGTTTATATATTATTCATAAGCTGAAGGTAGTAATATACTCATTACTCTTACCTATTTCAAGAAATTTTACTCTGTGCAAGGTTTAGTTTCTCTCTTTCTTCATCTGCAATGACAGAATACTACATTTCAGAGAAAGATCTATCTCAAATGAACCACAGTTAT